CAGCGGTCCAGTCCCTGCTGCTCCACGAGGGCCGCCAGCGGGGTCCACACGGCCCCTGGCCGCCCACGCCGTTCACAGACCCTCCAGCCCCGGGAGCAGAGAGGAGACAGGACCGGGGACCCTGCCCCGAGGACAGGAGCGTGCGCTTCTCTGTGCTTGGAAAGCCGCAGCCCCCGGCCTGTCTCCCCGCAGCGAGCAGATGCTGCAAACCTGCCTTGCTGCCTTCCAGCACGTTGATAAACACTTGGTTGCCGTAATGCGCTCCTGGCTTTGCTGCGGAGCCGCAGGCGAGCAGGCGCTGGGTGCGGGGCGGCAGGTGGCCGTGGGAATTACCCCTTCTGCTTGGTTCGCGCCTGGCAGTGGCACCTGAACCAGCAGTGCGGCTGTGGCATCTCACTGAGTCCCGGCACTCGCCCATCCCCGAAGTACTGAAATCAGGATAGACCCATTAACCGAGCGCCCTCAGCCAGCATTGGCCTAACATGTTGCTTCTGGGGGGCAAAATGAGCTTTACAGACGCTAGGATGAATACCGGAGCGTGCACGAGCAGGATGGTCCCTGGCCTCCGCCCTTCCCCGCACCGTGCTGGGCCTGTGATGGGGACCGTAGCGTCCCCCGGTGCCAGCTGGGACCCAGGGGGGAAGGTGGAAGGCATCTGAGGGTGCCAGGGCTCGGTGCGGGATGACAGGGGCGCTAGGTAAGGGCTTTACCCTGGTTTCCAGCCATGCCCAACGGGCTGCTCCAGGGGCTTTCTGAGCCAGGCCTGGAGTGACCGAGGGCCCCAGCACAGAGGCTTTTCCATGCCCCACATGCCCACAGCTTTCATGCGGTGCCACGGAGGCCCCGTGCCCAGTGCCCCGCCGCAGTTAGGTTTCAAATGCTTTTTCACGGCGCCCGCCTGCTCCGTGCAAGGGAGGTCTCGACAAACGGGGCAACGAGCCCTCCCAAGAGCTCGTGGCATTCCCGCCCGCCCTGGCCCTGCCAGCACCCGGTTCCCAGCCCCGGCCCTGCTGCCAAATTTGTGTACACCCCGTCCCCACCCCCCCGGCTCCAGGCACCACGTCCCCGAAGCAGGGAACTGCGGCTGAGCGTGACGGGAGCCAGGCTGGCGGTGTCTTCGCGCAGTGCGTCTGATGGATTCGCACCACGACGAGCGCTGTGCAACAAGGCTCCTGGCGCCGGGGACGCAGGACGGCAGCGCAGCTGCTCGTGGGGAGCGGATCTGAGGGAGC